TTTTTTTTTTTTTTTTTTTTTTTTTTTTTTTTTTTTTTTTTTTTTTCAGTCAGCTAATCTTAAAAAAATATATGTTTCATTTATTTGTCACATCCAGATCATTTTAATGTTTATTTGTTGCTTTGGACAGCAAAAAACAAAATTATATTTTATTTATCCGTCGCTTTGTTCTCTCACTGACTGGTTTCTGTGGCCACAAATGGGGCCATAAACTGCCGTGCACCCAGGGTATAAAGAAACTAATCTTTTATTTTATTGGGCTTAATTGATTCAGATGGTTAGGAGAAGCGTCAACAACAGACACTCCTAAAGTTGCTGTTGCATCTGGGAGTAAGGCTGCATCAACTTTTACAGCTGCTACCTGTTCCACTGATTTCGTCAAGAACTTGAAACAAACTGCCTCAGGGCCATTCCACAGCCACCAGATCAACAAGAATTAACCCGGCCAGATTAATACTTGTTATAATTATGCATATATTTGCCCCAGAATGCAGAAATGCATTTTAAGAAGTCCAAATTTTAAGAATCTCCATGCATGCTCCTGTACACCCCACCCCAAGGTCATGCCTTCTGCTCGAGTTGTACCTTCACTGTCCACTACTGAAGTTTTGCCATCTACTCTGATTCTGATTGAAAACCCTGAGATTTTGAAGGCCTCATGCTGGCTTGTTGACTTAAATGAATTTATTACTAGCAAAAAAATTAATAGTTGAAGAGAAGTCCAGAAACAGTGTGTTATTTGAATACTGAGATTTGCCCTTTGAATGTGTGTTATTGATTGAGGCACTTAAGCAAGATTGTTCAATCTATTAGACTTGACTTAATCACCTTTCAGATACCCTGCTGTTTCATAGGTGGCACACTTTGTCTGCAAATTATTATCACTTGTGCAATCAAAGTAAAGCCTGTACACAAGAGGCCATCAAAAGATACAAGTTGATTGTACTAGAGCTGTGGTATATCTTGCTTGAAAAGTAGTGGGAGGGGAAATTTTATACTCGTGGTTCACTACTGACATTTTTTTTTCCAGAAAGTGAAAGAACAACTGTAGCAGAACCTCCCCTAAATCTACTACTGAGGACTATATTAATTTTGGATTGTTATGTGTCAGAAGCAGGCTGTTTTCAAAGCCTTTTTAATCATTATCAACTTGTGGCTCAATTTTCAGGTTCATGCCAAGCAAGATGACTTGGGAAAAGGTGGTGATGATGAAAGCCTGAAGACTGGAAATGCAGGTCCTCGCCAGGCCTGTGGAGTAATTGGCATTACTAAGTAAAGAGCATCTTTGGCCGATTCTTGCAGTGCATCAGATGACTGGAGGGACTAAAGCATGAAAGTGTGTAATAACTAGACTTAAAGTCTGAAATAACCAGAAAGAGACATGATGTAGTCATTAAAAGTTCACTTTGTAATGTTTTCACTTGTCCTTGAGCTTCTGGAAGAATCATGATTAAAGACTGATGAAATGGTGAATAAGCCTCTCAGTGCAGCAAATTATTATACCCAGCCTGTTTTATGAAGCTCAATTAGGCGTAGAAATTTTCGTAGAGCTCTTCGACTCTACGGTAGTATTTTGAATGTTTAAGCTCCATTTCTCTCACATATGCATACACCGTAGAGGTGTAGTGGTGTATAGTTATTGTAGCAAATATTATATCGCTTAGGGAATGTTGAGTGTTATTATGGATTGCACTGTTTTAATAATTGTTTTCAATTTACAATTCTATATTTAGTGTACCCTGACTATGCTTTATGCTCTATACTATATGTTCGTCCATCTACAGTCAACGTGCTACACTCTTAAAGCTCTTACACTCCATCTTCCACCATCTACATGTACGCTCAGCCTCTATGCTCTACGTATCTATGAGTTTATTAGTTCAAGAATTTTTGACTACTCTCTACACTAGCTTAGAGGCTTAAAAAACCAGTAGAGGGGTAAAAAATATTTGGTTGCGAGTACGAGTTTCTCTGAAACATGCTGTAAACAGACATTAACAGAAATGCCTTGTTGCATGTTGTTATATTTGGGGGACCATACGATTAGCACTAATTGTATGGCCCCCCAAAAACATACTATTTACATAAATATGCTAAAGTAGTAGAAGATTTATAACCAACAACACAGTCTAAGTCTGGTAAATGTCTCTGGATAACCAGCTTGGTGTTAGTGGTTCTGAGTTAAACCATTTATTCGGGCTTGAAATGAACAGCAATCTCTATAACGAATTACAACCCTAAAAACTAGCAATACAGTCTAAGTCTGGTAAATGTCTCTGGGTAACCAGCTTGATGTTAGTGGTTCTGAGTTAAACCATTATTTCGAACTTGAAATGAACAGCAATCTCTATGACGAATTACGACCCTAAGTTCTGTTAATGTATTTAACCTCCCTGAATAAAGGAAGTAAAACCCCAACTGGGTAACCGCGAAGCCAGAGGCACTTCCAGAATTTCTCGCATTTCACTAAAGGCTTTAAACGTGGAGCTATTTCTAGTATAGCAGATAAGCTCACCTCTAATCAAGGCCCTCTTGTTGCTCTGGGGATGAAATGACTCAAAGGGAATGTACAGATACTTATTTAGTGGATTTTGATAGGTAGAAAGCTGCTGAGTGCTAAAATTAGCATCTTTGTAAAGAAATAATCAAGAAATGAAATACTACTTTCGTTAGTAACATAGTAGGTAAGTTTAATACAATCAGTCTTGTTATAGAGATAACTAAGAAACTCTAATAGGATTTCTGTTGAAACCCTTCCAAACAAAAAATGTCTTTTTTTTAATGTGTTAATGTTGTAACGTTTTTTTTAATGTTTTTTTATTTTTAACTTCTTTTATATTTTGGGGGCCATATGGTTAGCGCTAATCATATGGCCCCC